CCCTCCCTGCAGGGGAACCCCAGAAACGCCGCAGCACCGCAAACGTCCGCCCCACAGCTCCGTACCCCTGTGCCCACCATCTCTGGCTCCCTGACTGTCTTCCCCTCAGAGAAGGGTGGGAAAAGGAGAGACACCTACTAGACTGCAAGGTGCGCTCTCTGACCTCCGGGGTGAAGGCCCCCAGGCCCAGAGCCGAGCGGGCGGCCAGCCGGAAGACATACTCAGTGTTGGGCTTCAGGCCTTCCACAGTGAAGGAGGTCGTTGGCTCGAAGTTCTTCGGCACCTGAGATGGGCGAGCGGGAAGAAAAAAATAAAAACAAACAAAAAAGGAGCAGAGGCGAGCCCTGCCGAGAGACACCTGCCCTACTCCCCTCTCTCAGCCACCTCGGGGGACGGAGGGCCGGGATGCTCCTCAGGGCCCCAACCCTCTGCGCTCCTCCTGTCCAGACTCACCTCCCTGCCATGGTCTCCTTCCTTATAGAGGAGCTCATACTTCACTATGATCTCCTGGCGGGGAGGGCTCCACGACAACACGATGCTTGTCTCTGTCTTGGCTTCTGCTCGGAAGTTCATCGGCTGCCCAGGAACTGATACAGAGAAGAAGCCGATGGGGCAAAGGAGGCAAGATGAGAGACAGGAGAAACCACATTAACTTGGCTAATCAGAAAAACCCTACCCTGCTTTCTTCAAGGCCTGTGTGTGAAGAGCACATCATCAGCAAAATGCCACGCTGCAGAGTGGGCAGGCCTTTCCTTTAAAGTAGTGGAGGGTTAAATCCCACCACAGCACTCGAGCACGTCCAGCACTTGAGACAGAAGAGTCCTACTGGATCATATGCCTCCTTATGGCAATGCAGAATACAGCCTTTCCCGCTAATCCCCAGTATCAAAAGATTGTGGAAGTGGGAAGCCCATGAGCAGTCCGTTGAGGATGCAGGGTTTCCTCGTCAGCACCCCATACCACAAGCAAAGCACCTGAAAGCATGCTGGGTGACAACCTGTGATAGAACATCTTTTGTTCTCAGTTCAACACATCTGCTGTGACAATTAGGGCTTTGTTTTGCTCCCCTTTTAGAAAAAGGCAAAATAAGGCTCATTCCCCGCTCGTCTCTCAGAAGGCAGTTTCTGGGTACTTTAAGAAGAGTTAAGCTTTACCGCTGCCTGGGCAGTGAGTGTTTTTAGGTTTGTTAAAGACATTTAGAACCTGAAAGCAAGAAGATAACCCACTTTGAAATATGGCACAGCAGAAATGGATTCTCTTTGCGTAATTGCTGGCCCCACTCATTTAAGCAACAACCTTTCTGAGAAAAAAACAGATCAGAAATCATGCACCAGGCTCCCCGGCTCCAGCCACTGGACCAAGCTTCCTCCCAGGTTACTTCTATTTTAACCAAACTGAATCAATACAGGAAAAAGTGTTCTGGTGACACAGCAGCCACAGCTGGTTAATGCTAGAAGCCAACACCCCTCCCTCCTGCAGCCCAGTGCATCCAAGGCTAGCGATACCCATGCTCACCTCCTTGCTGCGTCTTAACCTGGATGGGGTCAGAAAGAGGTCCATCTCCCACGGAGGTGAAGGCCAGGACCCGGACTGTGTAGGTTTCGTCCTCGAGAAGGCTGCCCACTGTGGTCAGGAGGCTGTCGTCCACGTTGTGCTTCTGCCAGTTGCTGACGGGCTGATCAGGCTCCATGGTATAATATACACGATAGCCACGGATCTGTCCATTGGGCTCCACCGGTTCCTCCCACTGGATGATCATGGTGGTGCTGCTCAGCATTCGTCCCTGCACATTACGGGGGGCACTGGCAGGAGCTTGCTCACCAGTGCGAGTGACCACGGACTCGCTGGGAGGCCCCTGCCCAATGCTGTTGACTGCAGAGACCCAGATTTCGTACTCAGAGTTAGGGCTGAGACCCCCAATACTGTAGCGTGTGGTGGTGATGTCCTCTTTGATCTGATACGGTCCATCCTGGCTTTTAGACTTGTATTCAATGACATAGTAGGACACAGGGTCTGGATTTCCAGAGTCCCAGGTGATGGTGATACTCGTTGCTGTTGTCTCTGTCACCACTGGCGTCCCAGGAGCCTTGGGGAGTGCTGAGAATCAGGAAGAACAGACATTTAAAAAAAACCCACATACGCTGAAATGGTGCCTAATTGGGCTAGTTAGGGCTGTAGGAGCCAGAGGCACAGTACCAATCACAGCGCGGCAGTTCAGTAAAGTGCTGCTGAAATATTATGAACCTAGTTATACACTCTATTATCCTCCTTAAACTGCTCCATCAAAAGGAAAAGTGTTCAGCTAAACATCTGGAATCATTAGCACAGACTTCAGCTGCACATCCGCCGGCTCACATGGCAGTAAGGAAAAGCAGTTCTGCAGGAGCTCCTTCCGAGCACGTAATCAGGTCTTCTGCAACAGCGCTGGCAGCCCGGCTCCGGCACTGCTGAATCTCTCCTCGTTTAGCGTGCAGGTAACGGTATACTGCGGACTGTGTTCTCCAGAATGAAAAAGCTATAAATACTTGGAGTGCTTCCTCTCAAGCCACAAATGTGTGTTAATATTCATCTCCTCTGTCCCTCATCCAGAAGACTACCTTTGGAGCTTGCTGGAGACTGCACGCTAAATGTCAGACACCTTTAACAGCAAGCTTTACGTCCTTTCCTCACTACACACTTTAGACCCTTTCCAACCTCATCTTCTCTAGACTTGAGCACCTCTAAAGCTCTAACTTCTCCTTTCATCTTGTGACAGGGAAAGACTGAGGATGCTTACATGCAGGAACATAAGGGGGTATAGAATACAAATAAAATGACAAAAGGCAGAAGGTACCAGCAGGGCAAGATTCCCCATCTGAGGAGACAGGATAGATGGAAGCAGAAGCAACGTATCTTACACAGCAGCTTTTCAAACTGATAGTATAAGAGAGGGAAAAAGGGGGAAGGAAGAAAATACTCAGGAAAACAAAGAGCATCTCAGTCCAGCCCCAGGCATCCTTCTGCTAGCACGTGAGCCCACTCCCTGGGCGGAAGCTCAGGACGAGTGTCCTGTCGGGACTCACTAGTCCCTACTCATTTCTATCGTCAGGCCTTCCTTAGTCAGATGGGCTGATACAACATGATTGTTCTTCTTTAGCCCTCCCCTTCTCCAAAGTGTTTCTCCTCCTCTCCCCGACCCGCCCGCATCCCTTCCCACCCGCTCTCTCCCGAGATCCCTCGTGGGCAACGCCACCACTCAGAGCAGACACCAGCTCAAACGAAGAGCTCTACACTCACCCAACCACAGGGGCATCCCGCTTAGGTTTTAATACTCCCCTGCTGAGGACAGAATAGATTGAAGATTGCACCCATGCTCCTCTTGGGAATTGCTAGCTGGAAGCTGGGGTTATTCCCCCTCTTGCTGAGGCAACAACAGCCACTAAGATGCTGGAGCTAGGCTGTACTACAAGGGCACACATGCCAGAGATCCTCAGGGCCTTGGCTGAATCTCTACCCTTGGAACAGGATGGCATGCAGGCTCCAAGCCATCCAAGGCTCCTTGCAAACTGCCCAGCCAGCCTCATATCCCAGGACAGAAACAAGCATGCAGGGGTCTGAATCACAGTTTTCTTCATAACAAACAGCTCAGTTGTCCTAAAGCGAGGAAAGATCTCAAGCCACCAGCTTCCCCTTCACTGTGGATTACTTTGTGCGTGGGATCCCCAAAGACGCATGCACCGATCCCAGCACACGGCCCTCGTGGTGCACAACTCTCTGCTCCTGCTCACACACCTGCGCATGTACATACAGGCTTGTAACAACACGGACTTACATACATGCAGTCAAGCACCCACATGCCCGTACAGCCACGTTGCTCCTTCTCCCATGCACACACACTCATGCACGACTACCTTGTCACATGCATAATTGTGTGCCCACACTCCTCACGTGCAGATCAGACAGGCCCAGGCTCACCCCATGCAGACACACAAAGACACAAGCAGAAACCAGTACCCCCGCGGTCAGGCGGTGACGTTCCCACTCATGCCCCGCTGCAGGCCGACAGGCACGACCACGTATCTACAAACGCGCACAAACACGCCACGTGCCCACATCTGGCCTGCACACACGCTCAGGCGCGTGCGCCCCACGCATGCCTTGCACGTATAAACACCCATGCGGCAGCTGACACGCTCGTGCACGCACGCTCCTACGAACATGCAGCCGGGGAACCCACGCACTCGCTCACGCAGGCGTGCTCACACTCTCTTACATTTCACCGTGATCTGAGCAACAGCTTCTATGACTCCCAGACTGGACATGGCCACACACGTGTAGTTGGCTGAGTCCTTGACATCCGTGAGCTCCAAGACATTGCGGCCCACAGGCATGTCATCTTCAGGCGTCAGGTCCTCCGCTCCCTGCATCCACTTGACGTACGGCATGGGCGAACCCACGGCCACGCAGGTGATGTTGACGTTGCCACCGGGCATGATTTCATGGCTGACGGGTAAGATGGAGAAGCGAGGGGCCACACGGCGAACTGTGGACGAGACGCACAGAGGTAACAAAAAAACAAAACCAAACCAAACCAAACCAAACCAAAAAAAAAAAAAAAAAAAAGGAAGAAAGAAAAGAAAAAGAAGAAAAGGGAGAAAAAGAAAGAAGAGCAAAAGATAATTTAAATATAGATGGGGTTTGTCATCATTTATTTTCTTCCTTCATTAAAAACAAAACAAAAAACAAATAAATTAAAAAATCAAAAACCAAAAACCAAAAAAATTAAACTTCAAATAAATTTTTACTTCACAAACAATATATAGAATATAGACATAAAAGCGGTATTTCATAGCAACAGGGTTCCATTGATCAAGATTAGACCCATCACAGCACAGATAAATACACAAAAATTTATTAGCAATTTCTCATCTTTACTGGCAAGAGCTGGCATGGCGAGCGTCGAAAAATCTCCTCCACAGCCGCTGGGGCCCCCAGCTCCCCGCTCCATGCCCCGGGAAACCTGCTCCTCCCCTTTTCCAGTGGAGTCCGACTCCCAGATCACCTTCTCCCCCATCAAAACGAAACAGCCCCTCCACCACCACGGCCTGAAATGGTCCAGGTGCCTCCCCAGTCTCCGGAGAGGGGTCCTCTCCCACCTGTGCCTAAGGGATGCTGCAGAGGTGGGGTGGTGGCGAGGAGAAGGCTGGGATGAAGACGGAAACTTCTCAAGATTTTGCCTTGTTGGACCCAGAGAATCCAACAAGAGAGAAGTATCACATCCCCAAACGCCAGAGAGACACCACTTGAAAAGTAAAGAGGCAAAAATATAAAAAAAGGGAGGAGAGGGAGTCCCCGGAGCGGGACAGAATTTAGTTGGTGTGTGTGTGTGTGAGAACCGTCCAGGGGGAGGCAGTCCCCCTGGAGCGAGAAGGAGTGTGGAAAAGATGAGAAACTCTAATGAAATTTTTGTGGTTTTCGGGTATAGAAACCCTAACGAAGCCTCTTTAAGATCTGACACGGTTCCATCGATAGATGCAGCTCTCAGAGTCACAAACATCATGCAAAATAGGTAAAAAAGAGAGAGAGAAAAAGATAGAAAGAGAAAGAGAGAGGAAAATGCAGAGAAATATAATTTATGGGCGGCTAGCAAATGCCCACATGGATACTGAAAAGAGAGTGAGCGACAGAGAAAGAAAGGAAGACAAGGAGAAGGAGAACAAGGAGGGGAAGGGAGAAAGAAGAGAGAGAAAAGAGAGGGAGGGGAGGGGGAAACCCACTTTAATGCTGCATACTTTTTCTAGCTGATGTGACCCAATGTGGTGGCTCACATTGTCACATCTCAGCCCTGGCGGAATAATAAATAGAATAGAATTAATAAGAAAAACAAGGTAATGAAACTTTAACGTTGAGAAAACAGTGACATGTTCTGTGCATCTCCTTAGCAGAGAGGTGGATGCAGCTTCCAGACCTTACACAATAAGAACATGGACGCAAAGGGGAGGGTACGGTTTCCTTGGCTCCATTTTCTGAACTAACTGGGCTGGCCGGCTGGCCGAGGTGGGTGCTCTTCCTTACGGCTGAAAGCAGGAGAACGGACTAAGGAGAAATGTCAGAAGGGCCCTAGGGAGGGAGCTGAGGGCAAGGTCCCATCCCGCAAGCAAAGACAAAAGGATACAGACCCCCAGGAGATGCAGGAGCAGCAGCAGCTTAAGGAGAAAAGGAGCGCGGGATTCCTCCGGCTTCAGAGACAGCCATGCAGTCAACCCCCCCCCTCAGGTAGGGTGAGCGAGGGGGCAGGAGCGTTAGGAGTGCTGGGGGACTCTGCTGTCCTATTCCCACGTAACCTCTCTGAACAACCTCTCCAAAATTCAGTGGCAATTGCATCCATGCACAAGCAATGCAAAGGACATCAGAGCTTAGCCCGCCATCGCGCTTCCCAACTCCTCGTGCCCTCAGATGTCCCCTGGAACTGATGTCTGGGGTTTTTCTAGTATTTATCTTCCAGCCCATTTCCCTGGCTGCCACTCAACATTACGGATCTTTTCAGACGGGAAGGGCGCTGCCAGGAGAGGTAGTGGCTGCTTTCCATTTAGTGGGGCTTTGTTAAACAAAAGCCAAGTATAGCCCCGGACTCCTCCGGCAAGCTGACAGGGAGATGTCTTCAGAGAGAGGTGTGCTCATCCCATCGTGCATGGTTAGCAGTACCCAGGAACCAGTACTGAGAGGCAAGGAAGAGAAGACTTCCAGATTTGCGGCATTAGGAGCTCAGAGATGTCAAAGGAGAATTCCTGCATGCATGGATTTGCAAAGAGAACGGGCAGCATGCCCTCACCTTCCGTGTAGCTGGGGAAAGGACCGGCGTGTGGAAGGAGAGACTGCAAACTCACCTGGACACTAACACTAGAAGATGACCTTCTGCTTAGAGAAAAGGTAAGGAGAGTACCACGGTATTTGCACAACCTCAGGCACCAGCACTAGCTCAAGAGACCAGGCAACATGCTCCTTTCTCCCTCCTGTCACACCGCTACAGAAGACTTGAAGCCCTAGACATAAGGGTACGTCCCTGTTGCCTACTCCATCCTTCTTTCCACTGTCTGCTTCAGGAGGTACCGCATTTCAGAAAATGGAGCCATGTGAAGACCACACCGGTCACAATCTGAGACAAGATGGAGAGAACTTGAAAAGAAACAAGTGGGGTCAACATGCAGACAGATCTGGGGTGGGGATGGCTCTTTTGAGGAGGGGCTGATATGTAACCTTCTGGAGAGGGGAGGTAAGGTGGGAAGAGGTGAGGAGAAATGGGGAGACATATGCCGGACAAGATCCGGTCAGCAAACAGCATCAACAGCAACAAACAACGGCAGGTGGGATGCAAACACTGAGTTGTCATGGAAACAGAACAAGACAATTTATTCAAACCGAGGCTAATCACAAAGAAATAAAACTGAACTAAAAGATAAAGGGAAAAAAAAATATAAAAAAGGAAGAACAAACCAGAATTTAATAACCGAAAAGCATCATTTGATGTATGGTGGAGTGCTGAGAATCGGAGTCTGAAGGGAACAGACTGGTGCTGTCTGCGTGGTTTTGAGCAGGGAAGGGAAGAGATCCACTCACAAAACACAAGCTCAGGGCCATGGAGCTGGAGCTGGGCAGAACACGCTCACAAACAACTGCGAAGCAATTCTCCCACCCTCCTCACAGCCCCCAGGGGTTTAGGGCAGCTTTGTGGGGGCTCAGGGCAGCATTACTTTTTTGGCTCTTTTAAGGGCATTTGTCACAGTTAACTAACGGGAAGCCACCAGCCCATCTGGACGCCAGCCCAAAACAACGCGCACTCTGCGAAAAGGGAGAATTTGGATTAGGGTTAGGGGCAGGCTAATGCAAGACCAAAGCAGGCAGTAGCATTTCGGTTGTGCATCCTGGTTTAAAAAAAGCTACGCACTCCTGTGTGTGCACAAATATACAAACATCCACACACCAGTCTAGGACGTGAAAATTAATTCCAACATTAAGTGTTGGAGACCTCAGAGAGTCCTTAGATCCATCCCTGCTACGGCTCAGGGTTGTGACAACTGCATTTACTGTATTCAGGAAATACTTATAGAGCTCATCTCTGGACACCAAGAACCATCACGCTGCTGTTTATTTTAATTGCTATACCACTCTGATTTGGCTGTTGACATGAGATTTGTCAAGCTGAGAATCTCTGGGTCAGCGTTTAGGTCAGGGCCTAGGAGGAGGAGAGCGGTGGTGAGAAGAAAGCTTGAAGTGCAGCTAGAGATTCAATCAAGAACAATTTCAGCTCTGGGTCCAGCTGGCTTTCACACATCGCAGATGAAAGAGTGAAATTTTACATGCAAAAAAAAAGTGGTGAAGAGATTCCCTCCATTTTGCTATCCAACACATTCAAAGGACCAGAAAGGAAAGAAGAACTGCCTTCTCTGGAAAGGAAAAGTTGGGATGGGGCAGTCAGGGCTCTACTTCATAGATGCTTATCTAATACTTTTACCAATTTCTGGTTTCAAGACGCACCTTCCCTGAGTTTCAGGGATGTTTGATTTCCATGACAGACCTGTTTTACGAAGCCAACCTTGCATGCATACACATATGTGCATGCTCCATGTGCATGTGCAACATCTCCCAGTATACACACACAAGCAGGCACACACAAACACACATTTTCAATGGCCAAAAAACTCTCAGGAGCTTTTTTCAAACAAGGATACAGCTTGTTACTGACAGAACCAGATTTTACAACTGGAGCTGGACATTTGTGATGCAAGTCAAATTACTTGAACGCAGAGAAGCCGTTTCTGAGGCACAGAGAGATTTCTTAAGTGCAGTTTGTTATGAGTCTGTTTAATATTATCTGTTGGATAAGTATCTCACACAGGCAAATCTGCCCCCCAAATTCTGCTTAACGTAACCTTCATTAGAAATGGAACAGATCCATAACTTTTCACACCCTTGTAAAGCCAACTGGCTTTGTTGCTGCTCACGGATGCAGAGAAGTTAACCCAGTTTGTGTTCTGTGAGTGGCATTTCAGTGCATTATTCTTTCCAACAAGAAGGTTCCAATCAACATTGCTAAGGTTCCCCACCACCACCACTCAGTTAAAAAGAGAGCTGGGGTCCACCAGGTGAGAGATGTTCT